TCCCTAGACATCCAAGAAGCTGGAGTAGGTGTTAATAAGATTTAGAAAATAGATTTAATGAATCTGCTACCTTGCCTAGGCTGTTGTTACCAAAAATATTCTTAACTGTTTAAGTCTTTAAAGTAAGCCTCAAAGTAAACAATTTTTAAATAGAACTACTGAGTGCTCCTCAGAGCCATAACAAATGGGAATTGTCTGTGTTTTCTAAGGTCATGTCTAAGAGACAAAGTACTGTCACCAATATATTCAGAAAGAGAGACTGACAGTGGAACTGAAGGAGCTAAAATTGTAGTATTTCTGAGACTACTTTAAAATATGAGCCATAATTCAAATTCCAAAACCAGATACTGTTTTTTAAATGACTTCTTCTTCACTATCTGAAATAGCTTGTTTCCACACTTTATGCTGAAAGCAAAACAAGTTAAGGCTATAGATCGATTCTATAAATCTTAAAATGTTATAGTTGCTCAGAAATAGAATGAAGTCCAAGAATCCTCTCAATGAAGGTTTTTCCTTTAACATTTTCAGACTTAGAAACAGGCAATCCAAGCATAGTGGATTGTAGTTGTTGCATTGATCTTAATTTGAGATGGTAGATCTATCTGTGATCTGTTTTAAATAATATATACAATAATTCCCCAAGAGATTTAAAATGTGACCAACAGTTAAAGTGATGTTTTCTTTCACTTACATGTGCACATACCTGGAAGCCTAAAGCTTTTTTCAAAATTTTAAGAGATTTAATATTCACCACTTGCTTAAAATGATCATATGCTATGTGGATTAAGAGTGTATCCAGCTACAGCCAGACTTGCTCCCCTGCAAAAGTTTTCAGGTGCTCAGAAGGCATCTGAAACATTCTTATATGGAGCTTTGGAGGAATTGTGGAATATTATCTGAAGATTTGATTTTGCCAACGTTTTCCTGACACTTAAGTAACTGTGCATCACAATAACTGGAGAGTTGCAAAGAATCCACGTCTTATTTATTTTTTTCCCACACCAATCCAACTCAGACACTCTTGCCTTGTCACACTTCTACTTTTCTGCTCTAAAGGGCTCTGATTCCAAAATCTTCCTTTCTTTTCTGTGCTTTATTTTCTGTGCCTAAGTAAACAGACCTTCCTTCATATGATCCGTAGCTCACTGGAAACCACATTGATGCACCACCATCCAGTGCTGTTATTTAGATTAGGATATACTATTCTAGCAAGGAATGTGGGGAAAGGCATTGAGATTCAGAAATGTTTTGGAATTTGGAATCCTACTGGTTATGGTATTTATAGCAAGAGAAGTATATAGTATATATGATGGAGAACTAGGGAAATCAAAGCAAGAAAATAGTGGTCAAGAATTTAAAACCAGGTAGACAATTCTAATGTTCTGCTTAGAGGAAATACAAGCTGTTGAAGGGTTAGCATCCATCATTGGTCACCTATGACTAAGGAAGAAAACACACATGTGGATTTTTTTGTTCTGCTGAAATAAAGTCAGGGAAAACAAACAACTTCTGTATAAATTTTCTGTTGTAATCACAGATTAGATTTGTGAATTGAATTGTGAATTAAATTTCTGACTGGTGATACGTTTAGAAATACTGACATGTCTTACTTTATATTTTGTAGATGCTTCAGAAACTTGCTGTGTGTTTACCACGGGTTCTGCCAACCAGCTCGAGAGGGGACTTACCTATTCTTTCATTAGTCGAGCTTAACATTATCTTGAACTAATTATTCCTCTACACATGGCCTTCCTACTGGTGTCAGCTTATCTTCTGCTAACTCATGCTCAGTGTGCTCCTGTTGAGAATGGGGCACTGTTGGAAACACTGAAGTCACAAGTAGGATTATTCAGCAATAAAAGTGAACACTATTCAGCACAGGTGAGACCTCCTGGCACAAGCCGACAAATACCTCAGACAATCATCATAGGAGTTCGTAAAGGAGGGACAAGGGCTTTGCTGGAAATGTTGGATATTCATCCTAATATTGTGGTGGCAGCTACAGAAGTCCACTTCTTTGACTGGGATGAAAATTATGTGAAAGGAATAGACTGGTATAGAAGTCTGATGCCATTTTCTTATGGAAATCAAATTACAATTGAGAAAACACCAGGCTATTTTACATCACCACAGGCTCCGGGAAGAATTCATGACATGAATAGCTCCATTAAACTGCTGCTCATTCTAAGAGATCCCACTGAGAGAGTTATATCTGACTATACCCAAGTATATTACAACAGAGTAGAAAGCCACAAGCCTGTTCAGCTTTTTGAAGATATTGTTATTAAGAATGGAGCACTTAATACCAAATACAAAGCTATTCAGAGAAGTCTATATGATGTTCATATGGAAAAGTGGCTTAAGCATTTCAGTTTGGATCAAATTCACATAGTGGATGGCAATACTTTAATCAAGGACCCTCTTCCTGAATTACAGAAAGTTGAAAGATTTCTAAATCTTCCTTCCCGAATTATGTCTTCTAATTTTTATTTTAACCAAACTAAGGGATTCTACTGCCTTAGAAGTGACGGAAGGGAGAGATGTTTACATGAATCCAAAGGACGTCCCCATCCTCTTGTTAACAGCAGTGTTTTAGAGCAACTGTATTCTTACTTCAGAGAGCACAATGCAAAATTTTACAGGATGGTTAATCATTCCTTTGACTGGCATTAACGCATTTGGAATCAATGTTTATTTCAAAGGGCCTGCAACAAACTGTTTCAAACATATATTTCTAAATTGCAGAGATTCACACTATGAGAACATACTAGTAGTGTGATTCATGGGAATAACATACCTGTTAATTCATTGAAATGGTACCCTTTAGGTTGGGCAAAAAGAAGTTTCACATTTGTATGATTACTGTGAATCATAGTCTGATCTTCATCTTATTGTGCAAATACATTGACTTCAGCAGACTTCTTTCAGATATGCATCTGTTACAAAGCTTGTGCTGTTTTGTAAAAATGACTGCTTCTAACCATGTAAAAATGTAAATATTTGAAGTGGTATTATTCTACTGTTCTGTATTTTTTGTTCTTAGTATTTTTTATATCACGCACAATGACAGAGGTGTCAATTTCTAGAATTTTTCATACAGTAAGTTAAATTGTATGTTAAAACAGGTGCATACATAGGGGCTCCAATAAATAATTCATCCACTGTTAATGCTGAATTAATTAATAATAAAAGGAGTCTATTTCACCTGTGATTTTGAACAGGTGAACTAGAAGCTCCATGTCTGTAGATCATTAGTATTAAACTACAGTCTTACTATCTTGGATTTGCAAAAAAAATAAAAAAAAAAAAAAAATCTCCAAACAAAGTAAGAATATGAACTGTCTGAAGTTTAAGGTGAGAGTTCTGAATGTAGAGAAAAAAAAAACCCCACACACAAAAAAATAAAAAAGCCAACAACAAAAATGCAAAAACATTATTAATATTAGGAATCGTGCAAATATTTGATATTATAAAAGTTACATTGCTTTGCTCTTGAATGGAAAAGCTTCTCATTAGTACTACCATATGGATCATGGTTGTATTCTGTTGTTATTCTGTTGTTCTGGCTTTCGTTTACACATCTCCATTGGTACACTGATTCTTGTTAAGAAAAAAAAAATTTGCTTGCCCTCCAAAGCATGGGGTATTTTTATTTTGCCATTTCTAATGCAGACCATGGGATGTTCTCACAGTTAAAATAACATCTTGTTATGCTGTATATCTCAAGACACGGTGTTCCATATGCTAGGTATGACACACTTAGATTATATATAAAAAACATCTATCTATACTCCTGCGTTAGGAATTTTTCACTTGTTTTGTTTTGTTTGATGGTATTATAATCATCTGTTCTCCATTTTCATGTAAACATGTTATTATATATCAATACCAAAGAAGATCGACTTCAAAATGTTAAATATGGTGCCAGACAGAATTACAGATGCAGATGTGCTTGTTTGACATTGTACCTTGCAATCCAGAAACTCTGGTGCACCCCTTTAGTAGTAGCATTCATTAGGTGCATTCCTCTTCAAGCTTCTCAGAACACTGGTGAGTTCTAGTTGTGTGGGCCTACTCTGATCCTCACAGCATCAAACTCCACTCAACGCTGATGGGAATCCTGGATCTGTGTCCTTCTGTCTGAGCCACTGTTCAGCCTATAGGAGCAGATGTTCCTAACGTGGGATTCAGTCTTCCATTTCACAGGCTAAAAGGTATGTATTGCAGAGCTAATTTTAAGGCTTCTAATACTTTATGAGGGGGCTACATATACGTTAGGCAGGTATAGCAGTATGCCACTGAAGCTGGACAGAATCAAACCCAGCCAGATTATGTGGAAATAGCCTTCATCAAATATTCCTTCAATAAATACAAAACATTAAAAATAATACAATAAATGCTGTTCTTTATCTCTTCCACTACTTGTATGGGTGTACATGAAATAAAATTATACTTGTCATTAGCATATAATTAACCTCTGAAATTTTCTTTCTTAAGTATGATATTACTACCTCTCTGATCCTACAGATGGCCTAAATTGTTATTTGCTTCTTCCACCTTTTCTGAGAATTCTGAATCATTGATCAGATCTGGGCACTACTCAGAAGTATAAAGTTGATCTGAATCAGATGTGGAAATACAAATTTATTTCTTTCAAATTAGCCAAAGAACAGGACATTTGTGCTGGTTTTATATGATCTCTACAAGGACATTAGATAGGGAAACTGCGGTAATTGCAGTGGTGCAGTCTACCAGTGCCTTGTCATTTGTGAAGTAAAACCTTATTCTGGAAAAATTCTGAACTCTGACTCAGTAGGGTGATTTTACATTGAACTAACACTTCATGTTTTGTGAGCACAACACTTTTACCTGATAACAGAAGCCCCAAATCCACATTCCCTATGTTGTTTAACACAGCCTGTTCTTTCTGACCAGTGCAACCTCAGTGACAAATGAAACTCATTCCAGTCCACTAATTTCAGAAATATAGTATTGAAGGTAGCAACACACCAGCAGTATATATCATAGACTGTAGTTTTTCTTTCAGCATTGCTTTCTGTTTCTTATATATTTCAAAACTTCTTATATTATTCTTGTTTTGCTTCCTTTCAATGATGAGTTAAATAGTATTGAGTAAGAATAAGGTTCTTTTCTTTTTTGGGGTTTTTGGTGGGTGGTTTTTTTAGTGTTGTTTTTTTTCCCCCCTGTAAGAACCTAATTTGGAAACAATGTATGCTGTAACAAAGGTTTCAGGTAGTTCGCCAGTAATTGAAGAGTTCACATGTCTATACGTCACATTCAATTTTACAGGCTTCCAAGAAAAAAAATTCTAATGTCTTTCTATATTTGTGCTTGCAGGCATCAAGTTTTTCTCTTTCTTCTCTGAAGTTTACAACAAATCTTTAGATGAGATGAATGCAGGAACACCAGTTGGCAGAAGCTATATGCATCTTTGAAAATGCAGGTCCCTTTCTGGAATTTACATTTCAAGGACAGCTCATCTGTATAGATTAGTGATGCATATATCTACTTGATTTGTTATCGCTCTATTTCTAGGATGGACAGAGCTGGTGGAATTAATTCAATGATCACTTTAAAGTTTACTAATACCAGAAGAAATATATTATGAATAGTATAATTTGAGTGAGGGGTAGTTTGGTTTGGTTTTACATAAATCAAGATACTCACCTAAAGTTTTGTTTTGGTGAATGGTCTAAAACCTCAACCTCTGCATTACAGAATTCAATGAATATATCAGACTATATAACATTACAAACTGTTTCAATTAGTTTCTCTTTTTGTGGTCTGAAAAAGTTATCTCATTCAGTCCTGCCTGACCTTCTCCATTCTTACTGTCTTCAAGAAAACTCTCCTTTCCTCATCGTCAGGAGGGGGACCAGATAAACTTAAAGCAGATCCACTGAGCCATAGTTCAGTAATACTGAAATAAAATGCACTCAAGTTTTGGCACTTGGAATTGAAAAGTAGTCAAATTTTGGAAAGAACTGGAGGCTCACAATCAGTTTAAAGATGTTATTAATAAACAAGACAGATCTCAATTTAAGAAATTACAAATACCTCATATACATTTGTACAATTGATTGCAAACCATGACCTATTCTTCTCTAAATTGGTCATTGATGGACTTTCATCTCATTATCTGATACTCAAGTGGTGTTTGCAGGAATAAATTTCATGTGGAAAGGCTGCTTAAAAAGGTCATGCAGTTGTTTCAAAGGGTTTTGGGAGCATCTGAAATAGATGATACAGTCACATGCGTAAGACTGCGTCAGAATTTACGATGATTTGAGCAGCTCTTTGATGCTGTTTTGCATTCCACAAATACTAAGCTTTCACTTTAAAAACAATTTCTTTCCTTTTTCAGTTAAAATGCTTTAGTTATCACTAGTATCACTAAGAATTAACAGTATCAAACAACTGCAGCTGTAACTGGATCAGTTTAGCCTTTGCTACAGTAAGAAGCTCACTCACACTTAATACTTAGATAAGCCTAAAATTAGTATTTTTTTATACAGACTACATATATTACCTATAGCACATAAAGGAAAAGTGTTGGGAAGCTTAAGAGGTAGGGATTTTCACAAAAAAGCTCTTAGCACTTAACTAATGGGAAGAAAACAAAAAGGTTCCTCTACTGCACTCACCCCCATTATTTTACCACCAAGAGGACTGGATTTGTTCATTGTGTCCTCTGTATCTGACTGCTTAGAGGCCTTGGGATGGCTTCTGGTCTTTTTTTTTCATAGCTTAGCCTTGATAGAGCATTTACAGTTCCTCTTAAAGAATACATGTGAAAGCAGAGACATTTTTGGAATATCCATAGGCAATATGGTGTACAACTTTACAGAGGGTATATGCTTAGTGCACTTCATTGTATGCTGCTACACATCAACTCCTTCACTATCCTGCTGATACAAAGCCAATAGATAATCCTATAAAATGCATTGAAGAAAGATTAGATTGACTATTATCTGCATACAGAGTTTTTAGTCTTCATGCACATTTGAAGAGTGCAGCAAAAAAGAAATTTTAAAATTTGATTGTTTCCAGCAAGTTTGACTGCTTATTCCCTTTGCCAATTTAGATGCTTCTTTCATGAGTTGGACAAAAATTTTAATTAAAAACAAAAAAGAAAAGTTATTACTTTATAGGATCACAGTTAAAAAGAAAGAAACCCCAATACCTTGATTCATAGATTCATAGTAAAAGTAGCACAATAACAATATCACAATAATATTTCCTTGCATAGAAGGAAACATTTAAATTATTTAAGTAAAGATTATACTCTTGTAAACTATTATTTTCTCTACTTGTGGATTCGATCCTTCATTTCCTTCAAAAGTTTGAAATTTATTGTAGAAATGGACAAACACATTGGAATCAAAATAGGTAATAATTTGCCAAGCAACAGCAATCATTGCCAGTAGTTAACGGCCAATATTTAGTTACCAGCCAAACAATTTCACTTCAATTATTTCAAATTTCAATGTGACTTGTTAAACTGCTTCACAACTTTATAAAACAATTTTAAAAGTTCAAGCCAACAGTGTATAAAAAGACTCTGTAGAATCATTCTGTGATGGTAGAGGAATTGTCATGTCTTTAAGGTTAATTAACAGTGAAATAGTATCATAGAATCATAGAATAGTTAG